CTGTAAGCAATAGCCTTCTGAGTATACTGAAGTCCAAGGAAAAAGTGTTTCACTCTGTTTTCTACAGGAGACTTGAGCAGATTTTGTAATACCTTGGAGCCAGTAGATTTTAGTTCTCATTAGAACAGCAGAGTCAAAGTTATTACTGTCCAGGAAGGAATGATGTTTAGGGAATCAAGTCTAGCAAAAGAACAGATTTAAATAGGAATATTTGTAAATGCAGGTATTTTGCACGTGTGCAAGATATAAAAAATTCAACATTTTGGACAAAAAAAATTTAAAGTTCACTCATGACTTTAAACAGAGAGATATAGGTAAAAGAATAAAAAACTTTAAGCTAAATCCTGGAAGCTGGATCTATTCTAGTCCACTGATGAATATAAAAACAAATAAAAATGTCCTCCAATAGCTGAGACAATTGATATTTTAGAAAAAATAGGTCTAGAAATCAGTACATGTACTCAGATAGCTCCCAGATTGATTACATTTCTTATAGAGCAAAATTATAGAGTAATAATGGAAAATAAAAACTATAGATGAATATTTTTTTCTGATCTCAGATTAGGGAGTGCCTTTCTAAGCAATATACACAAAGGCAGAAAAAGAAAAAACATTAATAAAGCAGCTGGAAAGATACAACCCCATGAAAAATTAAAAGATGAGTGGCAAAAAGCATTTGCCTTTATGTGTAACAAAGGAAGCTCTTTGCCCAGGCGGCACTAGTGGTAAGGAACAGCCTGCCAGCGCAGGAGATGTAAGAGACATGGGTTTGATCTGATCAGATCCCTGGGTCAGGAAGCTGCCCAGGAGGAGGGCATGGCAATCCACTCCAGTACTCTTGTCTGGAGAATCCCATGGACAGAGGAGACTGGTGGGCTACAACCCATAGGGTCGCAAAGAGTCAGACACTACTAAATCGACTTAGCATGCATAACAAAGGAATGGCATTCCTTATATATGACAATCTCTTATTCATTAATAGCAGGAAATATTCCAATATAAAAATGTATGAGGAATTTAGAATATAATATTTAAAAAGAAGATATACATGTGATCTATGAATGCATTAAAATGTTTAATCTCACATAAGCAAAAATTAAATAAAAAAATTCAGTTATTGCCTACAAGTTAACTCTTTGGGGGAGAGAATGTTTAAAAAACTTGGCAATCTCATATATTGCTAGTATATGTTGTTTTTAGCTTAAAATAACCTTTATTTACTGTTTCTAATACATCTTACGTCTATTTTCATTCATTCTCTTTGCAGATATGTACTCATTCAAAACTTAAAAGTGTAGTCATACTGGTGTCTGAATTTATTCCTCACTTGGATCATTTGTGATTTTATAGTTAAGTGCTTGTCTTTGAAGGCCTCCTGTCCTTTTGAGGGTCTCTGACTCGAGGATTATATTTGTTTTTTCTTTGAATTTTTGAAATTTGCTTTCTTAAATAATAAATTAGTTTTACTTCTTGGTAAAAATGAACTTCACTTCTTTTCTGTTTTATTTGCCACAAAATTATCAACAAGACAAGGCAACATTTTGTCACAAGCTCAGGCTTTAGCAGAACAACACTTTGGCAGATAATTTTATGGTTGATATCTTCATTAGGACATTATTTTTCTGTTGTGTATCATTAATTTTATTTAACCTGATCTTACACACTATCATTTATGAACTCTTGTAAGGAGACAATATAAAATAGTTATTGTATACATTAATCATCTATCATCCATTCATCATCCATTATCCTCACACTTACAGCTTCCAATTATCAGTTGTGTAAAAAGGAGGCTGTTCTGAAGCCATACTTTCTCTTTCAAATTTCCATTTTCCACATTAGTATATAATTTCTCTGCTCTTCAGTTTTTTAGGCTGTAAAATGATTGTACTTGGGGATAGATAGGATCCTTTCAGCCATAGAATTACATTATGTTTCTTACTCATTTTTCTTTCTCCACTGTCTGTTTCATCTGGACAAGGTATATTGTGCTTCCAAACTGACAACTATTCAAATCAGGTTATTCTGAATCCTCTTTCTGATTACAGATTGTGAACTGCTGGACACTCAGTGTGCATCTGTTTTTGCCATTTGTGGTGTTCTTCAAAGCATCTGCTTTTAATTCTGAGCAATTTTCTTTACCTTCAAAACTTAACTGAAATTCTTTTACATTTGTTGAATAGTACTTCATTTCCCAAAGTGTGTTCTGTGGGACCCTCACTGTGTGAAATGTTAAGATATACCCAAAGAAGACATACAGATGGCTAACAAACACATGAAAAGATGCTGAACATCACTCATTATTAGAGAAATGCAAATCAAAACCACAATGAGGCACCATTTCATGCCAGTCAGAATGGCTGCTATACAAAAGTTTACAAGCAATAAATGCTGGATAGGGTGTGGAGAAAAGGGAACCCTCTTACATTGTTGGTGGGAATGCAAACTAGTACAGCCACTATGGAAAACAGTGTGGAGATTCCTTAAAAAACTGGAAATAGAACACAGCAATCCCATTCCTGGGCACACACACCAAGGAAACCAGATCTGAAAGAGACACGTGCACCCCAATGTTCATCGCAGCACTGTTTATAATAGCCAGGACATGGAAGCAACCTAGATGCCCATCAGCAGATGAATGGATAAGAAAGCTGAGGTACATATACACAATGGAATATTACTCAGCCATTAAAAAGAATACATTTGAATCAGTTCTAATGAGGTGGATGAAACTGGAGCCAATTATACAGAGTGAAGTAAGCCAGAAAGATAAACACCAATACAGTATACTAACGCATATATATGGAATTTAGAAAGATGGTAATGATAACCCTATATGCAAGACAGAGAAAGAGACACAGATGTATAGAACAGAGTTTTGGACTCTGTGGGAGAAGACGAGGGTGGGATGATCTGAGAGAACAGCATTGAAACATGTATATTATCAAGTGTGAAACAGATCGCCAGCCCAGGTTGGATGCATGAGACAGGTGCTCAGGGCTGGTACGCTGGGATGACCCAGAAGCATGGGAGGGGGAGGGAAGTGAGAGGGTGGTTCAGGATGGGGAACACATGTAAATCCATGGCTTATTCATATCAATGTATGGGAAAAACCACTACAATATTGTAATTAGCCTCCAACTAATATAAATAAGTGGAAAAAAAAAGATATATAGTGTGATAAAAACAACATCATCATCAACAACAATACATGATTGGGGTTCTGAGATAAAAACTGTTGAGAAAGTAGTACAGTAAGTGAAATAAAACTTTCGTGAGAATCATAGTTACTTTTAAGGAAAGATAGGGTGCCTCTCACTGCTTCTTTCCACAGTGCTTCTGACCATGGTTTTTGCAATGAAAGAGTAGTCATGCCTTATTGACAGTAGAACTGTTGTGGGAAAGCAGGATTCTGGAATAACTGGTGGGATAGTTGGTGATATGAAGTTTTCACATGACAATAAAGTAACTTAGTGTAGTCAAAAAAAGAAAAAAATTTTTGTAGGACTTCCCAGTGCCTTCAAAGGCTAATTTATATTCAGAATTTAAACACTAAGTTAATTTATAAGCTATAAAGAAAAATAAAATGTATGTACCTATTTTTCAAATTATTTCAACATCCAGCCCTCTTTTGAAGACCACTGTAAAGGAAAAACACTCATTTTTGGAAATCCTTGTAAGTACCTCCACATACTTCTGCACTCTTAAGTGAGTTTACAAGTCTTGAACCTGCTTTCTAAGATAGGTAGTGAACCTACTTTCTAAAATGGTTTTCCCTGTCATTGTCAGAAGTCTGTTATTCCAGGAATGTTAGCCATCATTCAAAAAATAAAATCTAAAATTCATGAATATATTTTATATAAATAGCTATTCACTCTCTATATACTTTTTACTTTCCCAAAGTTCAAATACCCAGAAGAGATTAAAGCCACTGAATTTTTCAAACTCTTGAGGTTTTCTGTATATAATTTCACAAGCACCAGAGATGCCTGTTTGTAATTTCACAGTCACCAGAGATGCACATCAGGTTTCTTTCAGATATTAGCTATTGTTCATTCTCTTGTCATTCAGGAAAACTGGGGAGCAGCTGGCAAACTGTCAGATCTCAGGTGCCTACTATAGAAATTGCAATGACCAACTCCATGGGAATTTTCTGCTTGTTATGTGGGACTTCCACTGGTTCTGAGACTCTTTTTCTTCTTGTTTCTCTTTATTCACTCTCTTGCATTCAATAATTTACCAGCTTCTTAAAAGTGATTCTAATTCTCCAGAATTAAAATTCCTTAGGATTCTCTCCCCTGCCCCTGTTTTTCTTCTCAATTACTTCTAATATCCTTCAAACCATTGAGAAATCAGAGTATAGGAAACAAGTCATTGTTCCACAGCTTTCTTCCTATGTAGGACATCTAAATTCCTGTCTCATATAACTGATGACTTCCTTAACCCCTCTGTCTCTAGTGATCTCATCTAATCTCACTTTGAAACATCTCCACACTTATACTTATGATTTTCAAGTGTATTCCTGACCATCCTCTCTTTCCTGAACTCTAGACTCAAATACTCAACTGTAGCTGTTATTTCTAAGTTGAATACCTAGTGGCATCTCAAATTCAACAGAGTCAAAGCAGAAATTTTTTCTCTCCAAACTTGCTTCCTCCCTGTCTTCTCTGTATCAGTTATCAGCACCACCATTAGGCTAATTGCTCAGAAATCTAGGAGTCTTTCACAACTCTACTGTTCTCTTACTTCCCATAAACCTCTGATTCATCATTAAGACCTTCAGTTCTGCCTCCAGATTAGATCCTGCAACTTTACATTTTTTAGTATCTAAATTTAACAACCATAGTCATCCAAGCCATATATGTCTTTAGACTGGACAGCTGCTAATATCCAACCTGGTGTCTCTGCTTTGACTCTTTTCTCATACACAGAGCCAGAGAGTGGTTTTTTTTTTTAAATGTTAATTAAATCTTTTCATTCCCTGCTTTAAAATCTTCCAGTGGTTGGACAGTGCACTGAGAACAGAATGAAGACTCTTTATAATGGGCTTTCAAGACGTTTTGTGATCTGGCTTCAACCACGTCTATGACCTCATCTCAGGTACTTGCCCCTCTTTTCCTGTGCCTTGAAAATGCCAAGTACATTCTTGTGTTAGTTCTTTTACACCAGCTGTTTCCTATGCCTAGTTCGTAATCCCCCCTGATCTTCTTAAGGGACTTTTCTGTCATTCAGGTTTTGGCTCAAAGTCAAGCAAAACTAGCTTTTTGTAAGGCCTTGTAAACTGACCAGCAGACTTTTTTTCTGGCAATAGGAAATTGTGGGAATATTGACTTTATTCAGACTTTAAAAGAAAATGAAATACATTTTCTGACATTAAAAAACAACAGAGAACCAAAAGGCATAGCATTAAGAATAATTCCACTCTTCTTATTGTTCAGTCACTAAATTATGTCCAACACTTTTGAGACCCCATGGACCCCATGGACCCACCAGGCTCTTCTGTCCATGGGATTTCCCAGGCAAGAATACTGGAGAGAGTTGCCATTTCCTTCTGCAGGGGATCTTCCTGACCTAGGGACAGAAGGTGAATCTCCTGCATTGACAGGCAGATTCTTTACTGCTGAGCCACTGGGAAAGCCCATGCTTCTCCCAGCTTAGCTGAATCTTGTATATTAGGGAAACTGCTTCCACAGTGGCTCAAGTGGTACAGAATCTACCTGCAATGTGGTAGAGGTGGGTTTAATCCCTGGGTCAGGAAGATCCCCTGGATGAGGAAATGGCTACTTACTCCAGTATTCTTGCTTGGAGAACCAGCCAACAGCGGAGCCTGGCAGGCTAAGTTCATGGGGTCGCAGAGTCTGACACGACAGGAGCATGTGATGGATGGATGGAGGGATGGATGGACAGATGAAGTGAACCACTTTTTAAGTAAGTAAACAGGGAAACTGCCAACACACATGTAGACCTCCTAACACCATCAAATCCAGAGAAAAAAACATTCAGGTCTCTTCTAGTGCAGTGAGTGACAATGTCTTTGAGGACATTCAGGTCTCTATTACTGACCCTGGGAAAGAGGCTTGAAGAGAAAATCACCTTGAAATGTCATGTCCTGGGTCAGAAACAGAGGTCAAGACATAAACAATGTAACAGTACAAAATAAAACGCACATTATTAGTGTGCCTGCGTGTGTGTTTGCGCATGCGTGGGTGCTTGTGCCGTATAAGGGAAAGGACTAGGGAAATGGAAAAGCGGGCTACATAATTTACCTGGCCCCTGGGCTTCCCTAGTGGCACGCTGGTAAACAATCTGCCTGCAATGCAGGAGACCTGGGTTTGATCTCTGGGTGGGAAAGATCCCCTGGAGAAGGAAATGACTACCCACTCCAATATTCTTGCCTGGAGAATTCCAAGGATAGAGGAGACTGGCAGGCTACAGTTCATGGGGTTGCAAAGATTCGGACACGACGGAGCGACTAACACACTGCAAAATGAAAAAACAAACAAACAAACAAAAAAACCATTAAGTATTCCAGGATGTTGACAAGCAGCAGATCATTGTGGCAGGGCCTTTCAGAGGTCAAGGCTCTGTGCACCTACACTGTGCAGTGTGCGAAGCATGCCCTGGTGGGAAAAGAGTAGAATTCATCTCCAAACACCCTTCCCACCTCCCCACCCCCGCCAAAACTACAGTAAAGGCAACAACAGGAAACAACTATCAAAACTAAAGCCGATGGTGCCCAACCTAGGTGGTAGCGGCGCTGGGAGCATCACTGCTATATATAAAGCTGACTTGACAGTGAAGGAACGGATTCTGAGGACTTAGGGGGGTAGAAGCTTCAGACACAAAGAATAAGGGTAAGGGACAGAGACTGCATCAGACCTTCCTCTTTTTAAAAAATGTAGACAACGAATGCCTTCTCTTTCAAAAGAGAACTTAGTCTGAGTTTAGCAACTTAATGTCTGGTGCCTTGGGAGCTGCGGTGGAATGTGTGGGCTTGGGTATCAGGGTGTGTCAGTGTCAAAAAAAGTAGACAGGTTAAATATATTTCCGTGGATTGGCTTCCCACCCTCTTTGGCAACGAACCCAAGGGTTCCTGGAAGGACCCGGGATTTAAGTGGGTTTCCAAGGACCCTCTATTCATCCTCCCTCCGAAGGTAAGACCCACGGAGAACCGCAGGGCTTGGCATTCTTGAGTTTAGTACAGGCCACTTTACGGGTAGAAGAGCGTCGTCCTCGAACATCTGGATGATGTGGCGAGGACTGTGGGGACCGTGAAGCTCCTGGTCCCAGGCAGCGGGCTGTAGGAAGGGCGCCCCGTCCCCTCCGTCCGCAGTCGGGCAGCCCGGCCAGCGAAGAGAGCGGGGTCCCGGAGGGAGGGAGGGCAGGGTCGAACCATGCTCGCGGAGGCGGCCCCACGCCCTGCCGCTCAGTCCTGCCCCGGCCAGGGGAGGCTCAGGCCCAGGGAACCTCGGGCGGAGGGGGCGGCCACCGGGCACACTGCGGCCAGTGCGGCCGCGCGGCCGCAGCCCGCGCCGTTCCTGACTCCCGTCGCGGCCCCGGCCGGGGGCATCTCCTTCCATCTGCAGATCGGCCTGAGCCGCGAGCCGGTGCTGCTGCTGCAGGACCCGTCCGGGGACTACAGCCTGGCGCACGTCCGCGAGATGGCTTGCTCTATAGTCGACCAGAAGGTAAGGCGCCGCGCGACTCCGAGCCCGGCGCCTCCCCGCCGCGCTCGGGGCACTGCCCTGCGGCCGCCCCTCGCCGCGCCAACTTTCCGGCTCCGGGGGCTCGGCCGGCAGCCAGCCTAGCTGGCGCTCTGGAAGGGTCCGACACCCGCCGAGGTTGGACGCCCGCATGCGAGGCTGTGCCCTTCGTGTTGTCGAGTTCTCCCCTTGCCCCAACCTCTTTCTATTCCCGATTTCTCTCCAGTCTGCATCCTTCTCCCACAATTCCATCCCTTTCAGGACATTTCCAGGTATCTTCTATTTTCTGGTCGCACCTCTCCCTCTCACTGAAGACTTCTCGGCTCTCCCCTCTCTTCGCTCTGGACCCTGGACCAGCTCATTCCTGGCGCCGAAATCCTCCTTCCTGCACTAGAGTTTCCCCGGGGACACGCTCAGCACGATTTCAGCACCACTCCCTTCCCCTTCAGGCCCCTCTCCCAGCTCAGATTGATGCTGAGGAGTTCCTGGAATGATCTAGAGAGGAGGAATTTCTCACCTGTCAAATAAGCTTTTAAGCGAGAATGATTGACTTGGCCAGCTGTGAAAACAAATGACCAGACCACAGCTCCCCACCTCCTTGTGGTCTGTTCCCAACTCTGTGAACATGGGTGCAATTTTTTCAACGATAAATCTGAAAGTTGCAGCCTTCTGGATTTTGATTCCCAGGGCACTGATGGTGGAGCTTTGAAGCCAGGGCACAGGCATGTGAATGGGGGGGGGGGGGTCCTGTCCAGGAGCACCCCAGGCTGGCTGTGCCCCTAAGTTTTGAGGCTGTGGGACTTTGGACAGCGGCCACCGAAGGCAGGGTGGAAAAGGGGCCATTATCCTGGACCACGCCGCCCAGGGAGGAGACCTAGCCCGCCCATCGCTGTTTACTGTGCGGTTCTGAATTTCAGGTGGTTTCTGTGGCGGTCCAGAGGGGAGTTGCATGGAAGGGGGTGATAAGAGTGAAAAGGGATGGGGGCCCTGGCGCCAGTCTTCCTAGTGTAAACAGCGGGGGTTTCTGGGTGGAGACAGAGGTCTCTAAAGGCGCTGAATTTCAGCCCTGAAGGACTGACTGGTACTTGCCTTATAAAGGTCCCTTGAATAATCATGAAAGCTTTCTTTAAACTGTTTGGAACAGAGTTTGCTAAACCTGTGTGTTGTGAATTGTAGCACTGAGCACAGAAATATTAGGAAAAATCCCTAGGGAGAAATCACTAGTCTAAAAGTTGTAAAAGTTCTGGATGCCAGACGAAGTTAACAATGAGTGTCAGGAGTTTTTGTTTATTGAACGGGTGACATTTTATAATACGCGTGACTCTCAGTTTTTTGCATCTTCCACGTAAATGGCAGATACTGTCTAATTCTGTTTTAAGTCATATCATGTGCCTTCTCCTCATCAATACTGTGGAGTGTCTATTGCAGGTTAACTGGAGCCTTCTCCTGGGCACTGAAAGCCTTCCCTTAATGGAAGTTGCAGTCTGCAACAATTTCCATTGGAGTGCAAGCCAGTTAATTAAAGGACAATACTGAATAAGCACATAAAGAACTTAAGATAAAGTTTCTTAAAGAGCTAATGTGATTGTATAGAATTTTAGCTGAAAGCAAGTGAGTTACAGATAATATTCATTGGGTCAAATTAATATGGACAGACTATCTTTGAACAGTTTTAAAGGGTGTGCCTGCACACACACCCGCGCACACACACACATACATGCGTATAGCCACACCTTGATGGAATTTAGAATGGGGAGAAATATGCCTGTTTCAAGAGGTTTGAGACTAGAAATTGAATGAAGAGTGAATTCTTATCTCTGTAACTACCAAGAGGAATGCTTTGTGGAGGGGATGATACGTGTGCAGGAGAGCAGCAGAAAGCACCTATGGAATATAGAGGACCTGAGGGTAGTGACTAAAATATTTAGAGAAAGTAAAATTATGAAAAGGCCTTTCAATTAAGATGAATTCGAATTACTAGGAGTCTCTGTATCTTTTACATAGAGACATCAAATCAGGGGCAGCTGAAAGATGGATTTGCTGTGTGGAGTATGTTTTAAAAGGCCAAAAATGTTATGGCCGAAGGAAGACTGGAGTTCATGAGCTAATAGAACCCTGAGCCAAAGCTCTGGGGGAGAGACCTGGAGAAACACTGGCAAAGGGAAATCACCAATCCTGGTGACTGATTTACAAGGGGAATCCCTTCCTTTTCTATTTATTCTAGTAGTTCTTCTGTCTCTAAGAGTTTGAGAGTTTGTTTGGGATAGCCGAATAAAGATCTCACTTACACTTTTTTTTTTGCTGGGGATGGGGGTGGGATGTTGTGGCAAAGAGAGATTTAGAGATGTGTGTGGATTTGAGAGTTATTTATATACAGGATACTGTAATTAGGTATTTACTTGATAGGAAAAATTTTCATCTATCTGTTTTCTGTCATCTATCTTGAGATACAATTATACCTCAAGGTTAAGAGGGCTGAGTATCCATCACAGGATAGCAGAGACAGCAGAAATGGAGGAGGGGGTCAGTGTGGAGTCAAGGAAATGGGAAGAATTTCTTTGTTCCTTATTTCAGATTCTCTTGAATTACTTTCTCAAGATATTAACTCAGAGATAGGATGACAGGAGAGAAAAAGAGAGGAAGGGAGAGAAATGGATGTTTTTGGACAGTGCTGGGATTTAGAAGTCATTTACAATTTACTATGTAGAATGGATTTCTCTAGATTTTCTGAGCCCTCCACATTCATTGCGTTGTAACATGTTAAGGTTTTCCCGTGATAGGTTTGAGAGTTTCCTAAATACTAACAGAGATTGGACTATCTTAAATCTTTGGAAGTATTAGCTGACAGTTCACTTTCTATCAGCAACATTCATGGGACATGGGCTGAACGACTGTGAAATGAGCTAAATAAGAGAGGTCCGTCTCTGAGAAATAGTATTTTAAATTACTGTTGCTATTAATTAGAATTTATAGTTTTTCGTTAATCATGTAGGTTTGCTAAGTGGCAGATAGATGATTATGCTTGAAAATTTTTGATGGTAATTGAGCAAAAATATTCTGATTTTAAGATAAATGTATCCTAAGTATGTACTGAATTATATAGGTAAAGAATTTTTAAAAATAAGTATTTTTTAATATTTAATATAATTTTTATATTATATTAGAGCATAGTTCATTTACAGTGTGTTAGTTTCAGGTGTACAGCAAAGTGATTCAGTTGATTTTTTAAAATATTTTAGTTTAGGTGAAAAATCTGAAGTGTCACATAGATATTGGTATGTAGCACTTTACGAATACAGAGATAGAATTAATTCCTTCTTTTGGGGCGAATACATTTATGGTTTTCTCTATATTATGCTTATTTCTTTACTTTGCAAGCATGTAACCTTGAAGGCTGGTTGTATATGAAGATATATATCATGTTAGATAGTATTCATGACTATTATTTTCTGGAGGGTAAAAAAATAGTTACAGTAATTGACTTCACTTTGAAACATTGTTACTTTCTACTATCAAAAGAACCTTGAATATATAGACTAAGAAGGAATTGTTTTGAAACAAGGAACAGTATTCCAAAGGAAGAATTACTTTAGTTTCACATATTGTCTGTGTGTCTATGTGCACACACACACACTTTTTAAAAACAAACAGTAGTAATTTAGGGATGTGGAATGCAATTAATGGGACTATCCATTCATTTTGCCTGTTATCTTATTAGATAGACAGCTCATATTTCCCTTTTGAATTTACTTAAAATGAAGTAATAGCATCTCTAAGGCTCCTGGCATATTTTTACTTTGCATAGTCATTTTTCTGACCAAGGAAATAAGAAGTGAAATTTTAGGGATGATAGCTCATTAAAGGTAGAACAAAGGTTAGTGCCTTAGTTTGAGAACAGCTGTGCTCTGTTTATAGTTGTTTTGCTTTCTTAATTGTAAATTGTTTTCTTAACACTTGTAGTGTTACTTTAATTTTATTGTTAATTTTAGCTATGCTACTTCTACACAGATTGAAGAAACTGGGAATGACTAGCTGATTGACCAGGTCAGCACACATAGGCCAACAAAATCCTTTTAAGCAAATAGATGTTTGGGTTGTAGGTTTGTATATTTTTATTCAGAATTTACATTTGTCATCATTGTATTGTCATCATTTACTTTATCATCATTTACACTGTCAACATTGTCATCATTGACAGTTTACGATTGTCATCATTTCTGTTATTTCTGATTTAATGATGAAGTATAGAATGTGTCAGTTCATTAAGTAAGTCTTAAAGTAATATAATGCTTTAATACGGTATATTTAAATTTTCAAGTTTAGTTTATAATAGGATTATATTTTGATATATATGTAATGCCTGTGTAATATATGTCTAATATATACATATGTAGTATATTGTCTAAGTATGTAAGTGTGTTTTGAAACATAATTTTGAAAGCCTAATTATCCGTGTATAGCTACCATATATTAAAGTATTGTTTTATAATTTGCATTATAGGCTGCAAAATCGAGGCCTCATTATATATCTTATAATGCAAAAGAGAAACTCTGCTTTATGTTTTTTCTATCAATACACAGAACTAAAAACCTTTTCATATCAGTGTATGCTGTTGAACACTTTCCCAAGGAAATATCATTTATGTCAGCCTTCCAAACTTTGGGCTGGGAGAATTGGACAATTGGCTGTTTTGACAAATATATGAATTACTTTAGATCTTTAGATCCAGGATTAAAATAAATTGGAAAGACTTTTCTGAGACAGTTATAGTCTGTATATATGTGAGAGAGGAGGTTAAGTGGAGCTGGAAAACTGTTAATACTTTCTGTGTTGCTCTGTACACCAAACTCCTGTCACAACCATTAAGGGAAATTTGAAACTTTATTTTGCCAATTATTTTTACTCTATTTGTGAGGTGATTGTATGTAGGTCTTCACTATTTATTCATGGATGCCTTTTAATGACCTTACTAGACAAATCAAAA